TTCTCCTGCCCTGTCGTGGTGAGTCAGGACGCTTGGATTCCCCCCCCAACCCCAGAAAACTTCTGGGTCCCCCTCTCTGTACATCTGTGAACCCCTTGGACACCTGGATCTCCCCTCCCCCCAAAAAGCCCCCCCAAAACAGTGCGACCTGACCTACTGAGGTCACTGGACTCTATTATAAACTTTATGGGTAGACCTGATGGCCCAGTGATCCCCATTGACTTTAACGGGTAGACCTGGTGTCCAGTTTGCCCCATTGACTTTAATGGGTAGACCTGATATCCCATTTGTCTTATTGACTTTAACGGGTAGACCTGATGACCTATTGATCCCCATTGACTTTAATGGGTAGACCTGATGACTTGTCAATCCCTATTGACTTTAATAGGTAGACCTGATATCCCATTTGTCCCATTGACTTTAATGGGTAGACCTGATGACCTATTGATCCCCTTTGACTTTAATGGGTAGACCTGATATCCCATTTGTCCCATTGACTTTAACGGGTAGACCTGATGACCTATTGATCCGCATTGACTTTAATGGGTAGACCTGGTGTCCCCTTGGCCCCATTGGCTTTAATACGTAGACCTGATAGCCTATTGATCCGCATTGACTTTAATGGTAGACCTGATGTCCCATTTGTCCCATTGACTTTAATGGGTAGACCTGATGTCCAGTTTGTCCCCATTTACTTTAAAGGATAGACCTGGTGTCCTCTTTGCCCCATTGACTTTAACAGGTAGACCTGATTCTGGGGCTAAAAATGCCCATTTTGGGGATCGGGAAAGCTCCAATTTTGGGTTAAAAACCAGCCGTTTCTGCACCCCCAGGTGAGCCCGGATCGCCCGGACCTGACGGCGACCCTGGATGGCTCCACCCTGGAAGGGGCGTGGCACTCAGGGGAAGGGCGGCCACGCCCCAGCCACACCTGGGTATCCTTTCCCCTAAACAGGAGGGCGGGGCTGGGGTGGGCGGGGCTTAGGGCGGGGCATGGGGGCATGGCTCTCCCAACACGCCTTGACAGGTATCAAAGCTCCTGGACCTGCCCCGCCCCACAGAGGCCCCGCCCACCGAGCAGCCACGCCTCCAGCTGGGCGTCACCTGGGAGCCCGACTCCGCCCACCGCCAGGTGACGCTGCTGCCAGGTGAGAGCCACGCCCAATCCCTGTCACGGCCCTTTGAGCCACGCCCCCTTTTGCCGCAGCCACGCCCCTTTTCTCTCCTAGACGAGGACGAGGCCTGGTGGCAGAAGCCAATCGTGGCCCAGGAGCTGTTTTGGTAAGACACGCCCTCCGGAGAAAACCACGCCCCCTCAGTGAGGCTCCACCCCCCAGGAGAAAGCCACGCCCAATCAGCGAGGCCCCACCCACCTGGACCTTCCCTCAGCCCCCCCTTATGTTTCCCCATGGGGTGAGCAAGCCACGCCCCTTTCTGGCTAAACCACGCCCATTTGCTGGTAAGCCACGCCCCTCTCTTACTAAGCCACGCCCCTTTGCTGCTAACCCACACCCCTCATGGCTAAACCACACCCCTTTGATTAAGCCCTGCCCACCTCGACCCTCCTTTAGCCTCCCTTTGCTTCTATCCCAATACGGGCTCAAGCCACACCCCTTTTAGCAAAACCACGCCCCTTTATGACCAAACCCCGCCCCCTCAGGCCCGAGGTGGGCGTGGCCACCCCCCAGGTGCTGTGGGAACAGGTGGAGACCTGCCGGGAACTACTGGAATTGGAGCCGTGGAGCCGAGATGAGGCCACACCCACCCGGCCCCTCCCTTGGGGGGCGGAGCCACGGACACCAGTTCACACCAGTTTGTCCCAGTAAGGGACCAGTGTGCTTCAAACCCCCTCCCAGTGCCTCTCAGTGCTCCCAGTGCTCCCAGTGCCTCCCAGTGACTCCCAGTCCTCCCCAGTGCCTCCCAGTGCTCCCAGTCCATCCCAGTCCATCCCAGTCCTCCCAGGGCCTCCCAGTGACTCCCAGTCCATCCCAGTCCGTCCCAGTCCATCCCAGTGCCTCCCAGTCCCTCCTAGTCCATCCCAGTGCCTCCCAGTGCTCCCAGTCCCTCCCAATCCCCTCCCAGTCCCTCCCAGACCCTCCCCGTTCCTCCCAGATCATCCCAGTCCCTCCCCGCAAGGGGGTGTGGATTAGAGGAGGCGGGAAGGAGGTTTAGTCAATGGGAGCGTATTTTTTTTTTAAATTAGTTTTATTTTTAACTTTTCCCTTTGCCCCCTCCCAGTCCCTCCCAGTCCCTCCCAGTCGAGCACAGTCCCTCCCAGTCCCTCCCATTCCCCTCCCAGTCGCTCGCAGTCCCTCCCAATTTCCCTCCCAATTTCCCTCCCAGTCCCTTCCAATCCCCTCCCAGTCGAGCGCAGTCCCTCCCAGTGCCTCCCAGTCCCTCCCAGTACTTACCAGTCCCTCCCAATTCCCTCCCAGTCCCACCCAATCCCCTCCCAGTCGCTCGCAGTCCCTCCCACTCCCTCCCAGTCGAGCGCAGTCCCTCCCAGACCCTCCCAGACCCTCCCGGACCCTCCCGGACCCTCCCCATCCCCTCCCAGACCCCGACATCTCACTCCTGCTTCGCGCTTATAGAGCGTGTTTAATTAGCATCTCATTTGCATGTCATTATGACATCATAGTCGGGTGGGGGGCGAGGCTCCGCCCCTTCTCTAGGCCCCACCCCCCTCAGTGACGTAACGCGACGGCGCTTCCAAACTGCGCTTTATTGGTAGAGGGAGAGATGTGACGTCACAGCACGATGACGTCACTTGGGAGGGGCGGGGCCGGTCCCAGTGCTCCCAGGGCCCCCTCCCAGCACCTCCCAGCGCCACCCAAACCCCCTCCCAGTCCCTTCTGTGAGAAAAATCTCATTTATTGAATTTAGAAAGACGGCAAAAGTTTGCAGAACAAAAGGAATAAAACGAAAAGGAAAAATTACAACACGTGTTGGGTGTCCTAGGCACGCAGGATTCCCAGGAACACACCCTTCAATTCTAAAGTCCTGCTTTTTAAACATTCTTAAGGTTCAACCCTGTTTATGTCATAGAAGAGGCGTTCCCCTCTTTCTGGTTGGTTGTGTCGTGCTGGGAGCTGGAGTGTCCAGCAGCACGGCAGCTTCCAGGACCAGCCATGTGGTATAAGGGGTTTCCTTACCAATATTCATTTACAGTTCCCTATTCCCGTTCACATGTTTCCCTGACACCAGTTCCAGGCTGAATCTGGCATCTTACAACTCCACGATACGCCCTATAGGTTAGTAAAGAAAAACTCTTATGTTAGTGATTTGTTACATTCATTTGCTTGTAATAAAACCGATTCTTTATTTCTCACACCATCAATCTCTGATCACACCCATTAGAATCTCACTGGAGCCAACACGACATTTTGCGACAGCTCGACCAGTTGTTTAAGGAAAGAGTGTGTGATGGAGCAAAGCTAAATCCACACATCTGGGATACTTCTGACACTCCTCAGCAGGGCTAATATTGATTTGTTTTCTTTGGCTAGGTAAGTGCTGCCCAAACACATTACCTAGGGTATGTAGTTCCAATCCAAATGATGAAAAGGAGATGTGCAGGTTT